CCCCAAAACCCCAAAACCCCAATATAAACCATTTTAAGGATCGCTTCAAGATTAGAAACTTTATTTTAAATCCTTATTAAAATAATAATGTCAGTTTTACATTTTAATAAGTTTCTATTATTTGTTGGCTTCCTCGCTTAGCTTCTTAAGATTCAATTTTAATTCTAAGGGGCAATGATCACTGCCTCCAAGTATTTCATCATGAATCAAACTATCAATCATACAATGCTCTATGTCTTTGTCCAATAACAAGTAATCAATTCGAATGCCTCTATTTTACTCTCTCTATTTAAATCTATAATCCCAATAGGTATATTGTCTTCGATCAGGATTAAGATGACGATAAGTATCAAGTAATCCTGCATTTACTAATAGCTCTTCAAATGTCTTGATCTCCACATCAAAGAAGAATGGTGTCTCATTATCACCTCTCTTTTGGTGATAAGTATCTAAATTATTTCTCAGTATATTAAAATCACCACATAATACTATTGGCTTTAAATTGTTGGCTTTAGTTTTAATTATATACTCTTCAAATTTTTTCCTCCACACTTTAGCTATCCATTCAAGATATTCCATACTATACTAAGGATGAGGAATATAAACGTTAACCAAATTGAAATGCTGAAACTCCAAGGTAATAACTCTTCCTTGCTAGTCCAATTCTTTTATACCCATTCCATAAGAAACTGATATTGGATCTACCTTGGTTAGTACAGCAGTACCTGATTAGCTCTTTGTCTCTTCACTGCAATTCCAAAATTGCTTATATCTCTTTGGTATGTAATCGAATAGTCTGTACTTATCAATGTTTAACTAATCAATCTTTGTCTCTTATAGACACAAGATATCAGGGTTATACTTATCAAGGAAGTCTTGCATGCTACCTCTTCTCAATTAGGCTCTAATTCCATTTGAATTCCAACTCCAGATAGAAGTTTCATCTTATTGATGAAAATTGTAATCAGTTGGTGTTTAATCATGATGAGAATTTGCTAGTTGATAAGTATTATACAACTCAATCTTAGTTATCTTCTTTGGTTTAAGTGGTTCATCTGTAGGTTACTTTATTTTCTTGGCAAAAAACCTGCAGCCAAAACGATTTTGTTAGCTCTTATTAAGAAGTTTTGAGAGTTAATTTATTCCTTGCATTTAATTATATTAATAATTATTATGAAAACCAATTAACTAATTATGAATATTCAATGATCACGGGGTTTTGGGGTTTTGGGG